AATAAATAGAATCTTAAAAAAGGGAGAGAGAGAGAGAAGAAAAGAAAAAGGAGAATAAAAAGGAAAACCGCCCCTAGCCATATTTCAAGTGCTCAATGGCTACACGGGGCTCCTAGCAATGGATCTGGAAGGTGCTGGTGTAGAACATCTCCACCATGGCAGAAGGGCCAATCTGGAGGAAGCCATTCCCAGGACGAGGCCTCTCCTAACAACGAAGAGGCGATGACAGCGACGATGACAAGGAGGACAACACCGATGACACAGACTCTGCTCCCCATGATGCCACTCTGACAAGGCTGCTCCCCAGAGGAGGCCACCGCTCTGGATGAGGCTGCTGCTAATGAGGTCGCTCCCCAGACAAGGCTGCTCCCCGGACAGGGCTGCTCCAGCGAGGCCGCTCCCCGGACAAGGCTGCTCCCCGGACAGGGCTGCTCCGGCGAGGCCTCTTCCCGGACAAGGCTGCTCCCCGGACAGGGCTGCTCCGGCGAGACCACTCCCTGGACAAGGCTGCTCCAGTGAGGCCGCTCTGGAGGAAGCCTCTTCCCTGATGATGCTGCTCCCGCAGGGCTGCTCACTGAGGAGGCCTCTTCCCAGACGAAGCCACTCCCCGGAATGACGCAGCTCTGGCGAGGCAGCGGCTCAGGGTTCACGGGAGGTTGCTGGCGTCTAGGCCATTCCCCACGAAGCCGCTGCTGAGGGTCGTGGTGTGTGGGCGGGGCCGCTGGCATCGGGGCCGCTGGCGTCAGGGCCGCTGGTGTCTCGGTGGTGGCGGGGCCGCCGGCATCTCGGGGCCGCTGGCGTTGGGACCGCTGGCGGCTCAGGGTTGCTGGCGGCTCAGGGCCACTGGGACCACTGGATGCTCTTATAGCTCTGACAAGAGCTGGTACAACTCCCACAGCTCTTACAAGAGCTGTTACAGCTCTCCTTCTTCTGCTCCCGCCAACTCTCCTTCTTCTGCTCCACCGACTCTCCTTCTTCTGCTCCCGCCAAGACTCTTCTTCTTCTTCCTTCTTCTTCCTCTGACAGCTCTCCTTCTTCCTTTCTCGACAGCCTAGCAGACCAACCTTTATGGGGTTGGTTGAGCCCCGCCCCTACACAGGCGGCCAATTGAATCCCAATTCACCCCAGTGAATATACGCACACCCCACCAATTGGACATCTCCACCTGGCCTGCCCTGCCCGTACATCCGGGGTCCACAAGCCAGTTCCTCTGGGAGGGGCAGGCCCTTACATTCCCCCCTTTTCTTTGGAGATTAGTCAAATCCTTGTCTTCTCAGCTAGTTCTATGTTATATTGAGCATGTAAGACTAACATTTTATCGCTCCAATTTTCTTTAGTACAGCAACAATAAACTTACAGCTTTTTTTAGTCTTAGTTTTAGTCCATGGTCAGCGGGGTCTGTTGGCTGCAGCTTCCATCTCTGGGCGTCCTTACTCTTGGCTTGTTTGACGCGACCCGCATGAACCCAAGCCCTAATGCCTTCTACTTTTACTGCCGTGGGGGTGGTTAGGATAACCGTAAACGGTCCCTTCCAGCAAGGCTCCAAGTTCCCCACTTGATAGCGACGTATCCAAACCAAGTCCCCAGGTTGGTAAAGATGTGGTTCCCCCACCGTCTCCGTCCCAGTGTGGGCAGTTCGGATCCCTGCGTGGGCTTTTTTTTTTTTTTTTTTTTAAAGACAGACTGTAATGCCTGCAGTGATTAGAGTACAGACTGATCAGTCATTTCTGCTAGGGCAACCTCCTGTAGCTGAGGACAGAGTGGGGGGGGTGGTCTCCCAAACATTATTTCAAATGGGGTCACCTTGTTTAAATAGGGTGTACATCGGGCCCTGAGGAGGGCGAAAGGAAGGAGATCCACCCATCCACCACCAGTCTCCAGAATTAGTTTTGTCAATGTCTCTTTAATAGTCTGGTTCATTCTCTCTACTTGTCCAGAACTCTGGGGCCGATAGGCACAATATAGTTTCCAATTTGTGCCCACGGCCTTGGCCAATGCCTGTGAGACAGAACTCATAAATGCAGGGCCATTGTCTGACCCGATCACAAGAGGCAGCCCAAACCTAGGAATTATTTCTTCTAGTAGCTTTTTTTGGCTACCACTCCTGCTGTCTCATGTTTGGTGGAAAAAGCCTCCACCCATCCTGAAAAGGTATCCACAAAAACCAACATATACTTGTGCCCATATTTCCCGGGTTTCATTTCCGTAAAATCTATTTCCCAGTAAATTCCTGGTTCCTTACCTCTTTCTCTTTTCCCTCTTCCCATTTTAGTTCTTCCCACATTAACTACCTGGCATTGAGCACATCTATCAACTACATCCTGAACCATATGCCCTAATTTAGAAACCTGGAATTGCTTGCCTATAAGGTCTTTGAGTTTGCGTATCCCCAAATGAGTACCCTGATGTATCTGGTCTACTAACTTCTTACCTAGTCTTCAAGAAAGAATTATTTTTCCTGTTTTAGTCTTAGCCCAGGCCCCTTCATAGTCCAATTTAACCCATTTCTGCAAATACTTTAAATCTTCTTCTGAATAGTTCGGTTTTTCTGGTAGGGCTGGAGCCGGGAGTGTAACCAGTTCTTGCACTGTTTTTCGAGCTGCTTGCTTTGCGACTTGATCTGCTAAGTGGTTTCCTTTTGAAATCAGATCAGTCCCCTTTTGGTGTCCCGGGCAATGCATAACAGCCACCTCTTTTGGGTCCCAAATAGCCTGGAGGAGAGCCAATATTTCTCCTCTGTTTTTAATTTCTTTTCCTTCTGCTGTTAATAGGCCCCTTTCTTTATAAATAGCCCCATGTATATGGAGAGTAGCAAAGCCATACCTGCTGTCCGTATAGATGTTGGAGGTTTTACCTTTGGCCATCTGCAGTGCCTTAGTGAGTGCAATCAGTTCCGCTTTTTGTGCTGAAGTTCCATGTGGCAGGGCTGCTGTCCAGAGTTCCTGCTCAGGAGAAACCACCAGAGCCCCTGCATACCTCTTTCCATTGAACATATAGCTACTCCCATCTGTGAGCAGAATCATCTCGGCATCGGGGAGGGGAATGTCTCTGAGATCCGGCCTTATTCCTGTGACTTGGGTTAGGACCTCCCCACAGTCGTGTGGTTGGTCAGCTAGCTCCTCTGGCAGCAATGTGGCTGGATTTAGCACTGCTGGGGGTTGGAAGGTCACTTTTGGTTCATTGAGGAGAAGGGCCTGATACCCTGTTACTCGGGCGTTTGTCATCCATCGGTCTGGTGGAGTCCAGAGAAGGCCCTCAATAGCGTGTGTGGTGGTTACAATAAGATTTTGACCCAAAGTCAATCTACTCGCATCCTTGACCAGGAAGGCCATTGCAGCAATTATGCAGAGGCAAGGGGGGAACCCAGCTGCTACTGGATCTAGTTTCTTCCTAAGATAGTCCACTGGCCTTCGCCAAGGCCCCAGAGTCTGAGTTAAAACTCCTTTGGCCAGCCCTGCTTTTTCATCCACATACAATTGGAAGGGCTTGGTAACATCTGGGATGGCCAACGCTGGGGCACTCAGTAAGGCTGTTTGTAATTCCCGAAATGCTCCTTCTGCCTCAGCAGTCCACTCTATCATAGTGAGCCCTCCTTTTGTCAGTTCATAGAGAGGTCGGGCAATCTCTGCAAACCGCGGTATCCACAGCCTACAGTAGCCCACCGTCCCAAGAAACTCCCTCACTTGTCGGGATGTGGTGGGGCGGGGGTATGGGGTGATCACCTGTTTCCTGGACTCAGACAGTGAACGCACTCCCTCGTGAAGATCAAAGCCTAGATATGTGGCATGGCTCTGACAGAGCTGTGCTTTCTTTGCTGACACCTGATACCCTTTTTCCTGCAGAGTTTGTAAGAGAGCTCTTTTCTCCCACAAACATGACTCATAGTCCTCAGCGGCTACTAGCAAGTCATCAACGTACTGTAACAGAGTGACTCCCGGGTTGGAGGTTCTGTACTCACGCAAATCCTCATGTAGGGCCTTGTCAAAAATGGTGGGTGAATTCTTGAATCCTTGGGGAAGTCTTGTCCAGGTGAGCTGGCCTTGAAACCCTTCCTGTGGGTCAAACCACTCAAAAGCAAAAAGGGGCTGAGATTCCTTTGCTAAAGGTATACTGAAAAATGCATCCTTGAGATCTAAGACAGTATATACAGTTCTTTTGGGGCCCAGGAGGGAGAGTAGGGTATAGGGGTTAGGCACCGTCGGGTGGATATCTTCAACCCGTTTGTTAACTTCCCGCAAGTCCTGAACGGGTCAGTACTCCCCAGTCTCGGTCTTTTTGACGGGCAGCAAAGGTGTGTTCCATGGAGATTTGCAAGGAACTAGGATCCCGTCTCCTCGGAGGTGGTTAATGTGTTTTCTGATCCCTTCCTTTGCTTCCTGGGGAAGGGGGTACTGCCGAACGCGAATAGCTGTAGCTGTCGCCTTTAATTGTACCACCACTGGAGGTTGTTCCTTGGCCAAGCCAGGGGGCTTCCCTTCTGCTCAGACCTTGGGAAAGTCATCCTGTAGGATTTGGAGAAGGCTCCCCTCCTTTGTCTCCTCTGATTTTGAGACTGGCTCGTAAAGGAGGTATTCATCTACTGCTGCCATAAGAACTTGTACAGTGGGTTGTCTCAAGGTTACAGTCAAATCTCCTTCTGAGAACTGAATGCCAGCTCTTAAATTGTGGAGGAGATGTCTTCCCATCAACTTATATGGGGCATTAGGGAGGACCAAAAATCGATGTTTAACTACTCCCGAGGCCAAATTTAAAGTCCTTTCTGTTGTCCATTTATGTCTCTCTGTGCCATTTGCTCCTTGTACCCAAACTTCCTCTCCAGATAGTTTTCCCATAGGTTTAAGTAATGATGAAAATTGGGCTCCCATGTCCACCAAAAAATCAACTGATTTCCCCTCCACTTCAATTTTTACCCGAGGTTCGGGGAGGGGCTCTGAACCATGGCCCCTTCAGTCTCTGGTGGCAAGCATTGCTGTCTTCTTTTTAGGGCACTTCCTGGCCCAATGTCCTTTTTCCGTACAGTAAGCACACTGATCCGAATCTAAGTTTTCCTGCCTGCCCTCTCTGCTTAGGCTTTTCCTTCCATTTACTATCCCCTACCTTTCTCCTCTCCGCCTCATGTAATGCCAAAACCTTAACCAGTTTTTTTGTCTGTTTTTCATCCTCTTGCACATCCCTGTTGTTAAACAACTTTTCTGCTATTCCCACTAACTCAGTCAGATTCTTCCCTTCAAATCCTTCAATTTTATGAAGTTTCCTATATCGGAGCTGACTGACAGGCAAAGCAAGATTCATTGTCCTCTGATTTTCGGGTGCCTCACGATCGATCGGGCTATACATTTTATAGGCTTCAATTAGCCTTTCTAGGAAAGCTCCTGGAGACTCATTCTTACCTTGAGTCACCATACTAATTCTGGTTTAGTCCGAGAGCAACTTTTACTCCTGGAAATTCAGTTCCAGGGTTTCAACATATCAAAGACCTGTATTTGTTCTGAAAGTCTCCCATATGAATTTCCTTTAAGGTGGAATTCATCTGACGAGAGAATTAAAACAATTACAAATGACAAAAAACTCAGAATAGATATGGTTAAATATCAAACGATGACCCTTATCAAAACATTAAAACTTTAGGAAATGTATAGAACCTCTGGAGTAGTTACAGCATTTACCCAAATGTAACTCAAGGTTTATCATTGATTTAGCAGTACTTCCTAAGTAACTTTGCATATCAGGGAAAAGCCTTATGAGTCAAAGAGATCTCATTTACAATTCTGGGTGGACAAAGAAAACCATTTACATTTTCTTAGAAACATCTCAATCTCTAGTGAAGACTAAATATTAACCAATTGTGAACTGTTGCAACAGCAGTTATGCACAAAACATGTTTACCAACAGATGTCAAAAGCACAAACCTAGTTCCAGCAACCA